GCCTTACATTACAATATATGAAAAAGTTAATTGGTAATAAAACTCAGAGCATTTTAAAAATGAACCTCCACATAAAATTACTGTAGTGCATGAAAGCCTCAATCAGAACTCGTCTGTGCTGTGTGTAGAATCAGTCTCTGCCTCTCATATGAATAGATGTAATCTCAGCAACCAGACACAATAAATACAAGATGAAGGGAATGGCAAGCATAGCAGCAACACAGAAATAATTCCAGAGGCTAGGAATCACAACATGAAAATTATTTCATTATTTCAACTCGTTAATTATTCATGCAGCAGAGATACAGGAAATGGCAGGAGAAAACTACTGAAAGAGCAAGCAATTGACAAACACTGATGAAGAGGTTTAGAAGGGTATAGAAGAAAAATTATGAAAAACAGTGGATAAGAAAAGAAAGGGGTTTAGGGTAAGGTTTCACATTCAGTAGTAGGGCCAACGTTAGGCATTCCTTCTGTTTCTCCACTCCTCATTATTCCTGGTCTAGCACTGTGGTGTACTGCTTCCTACTTACTAACAGTCACAATCATTTATGAAACTGTACTATGAGTCATCCAAGGCTGAAAAATAACCTGATTAAAAAAAAAGGAAAAAAAAGACATTGACACAACTAAAAGGAAAACACAGGAGTAGAAATGAGCAGCTGCAACGGAAAAATAGGTCACGCCAACATTTCTCCCAGCAAAAAGGTGCAACCATGGAATTAAAGACCAATGTCTATGTTCAGACCATATAAATACACCTCTCAACTCTGCCTTGTAACTTGTCATGCTACATGCAGAGTAAAACATGTTTGGATCACATCAGGTAACAAATAGTGAAAAGTTACACAGCAAAAGGTGGCCAAAACACTTGGCTAATGTTGGGGAACACATTTTTCAGAAGTGTACACCTTTCACTGAAGAATCCACCGATGCAGGACGTTTCCAGTTGCTCTTAGCGACTTTTTTCTCCACTTCATCCTCCAAGTCAAATCTAGGATTCCATGCGCACGATCTACAGTCTATTGTTCAGGTGTATAACATATGAGAAGTCACAAAGTATGATGCTATATTGCTTAAATGCATGAAATGGAGAAGGAATGAAGAAGAACAATGAACTGGCTTATCAAACATGAGGACCAGTACATGGTGCACAGTAATACTTGGTGCTTCAGGTGGAGACAGTGTCTACCTTTCTGAGACTCAAAGGGAGTCTCCTATTATGTGCTCCACTCCCTCTTCATGCAATTTCATCATTAGGAGACATCTTTACCATCATCAATGTCAATCATTTCAGGACAAAACAAGAACTTTACTTCCATTCAGACATTGCTATTAGATACTACTGATGTCATTTTTGGAGGAACTGAAGAAACTGCAGAACCAGTTGCAAAGCAGAGGGAGAGAAATGAGTCAAAAATAGCAGGTTAGGCCAAAGTTCTCTTATTCATTTATGATATGTTTATGTCAATTCAGCTTGGAGGGTGGGGGGAGTGCAACGCAGGACAATTTAAAAGTGTTTGCAGCCATATTTGTGAAGAGGTTTTCATTATAAACCCTTATTCATAAAAAATACAGACTAAAAATTTTCACACTAAGTACACTTTTAGAAATTCTTTTTTACTAATATTACTACAACACAAGTTAAAAACTAGATGAAGCAATAAATCAAAATTTGTTCTCTGAAAGCTCAGCTTTAATTTGAAAAACATAATTTTGTAACATTTGGAATGAACACCCTAAGTGTATGATTCAAGGTACTACTTAGCATCCACTTGATCTCACGGTGAACCTAAAGTCAATCTCATTTGTATGAAATGTCCTGGTCATTTCACCAGTTACCCATTTCAAGTGCCCTTAAAAACAGCTTTTACCACTAGCATTTAAAATTGTTTCACATTCAAAGAAAATTATTAACTCCAACAATTGTATAAACCCATACAATAGCAGCTTTTCACTTGACTGGACTTGAACAATAAACATCACAAGTAACCTTCGGGTAAGAGATGTTGCTTTCATTATTTCTGTTGTAAAAACTTTGAAATTAACAAAAATAAGACTACAGGGAAATAATTAATACATAAAACTACAAAGAAAAAGGAATAAGCTCTTATCTGCATTTACTGGGGATCGTGAAAGATATAAATCACCACAAGAAAGATTTAATTCAGTATTAAAAAAGAACTCTCATGACAAGAGCAGTTAAGCACTATTAAGAAAAACTGACTAGTGAGTTTGCATAATTTCTGTTATTTGAGGTTTTTATGGGTTTCAAAATACTAGTGGTACCATCTTTTTCTTTAAATCAGTTCTGACAAACTTCACTAAGCATATTTTATTCAAAGAGGTGGCAGGAAGCTATCCAGTTTGCTACTTGTGTTAGTTTTCTGCTGTTCTAGTGAACTGAATCAGCAAACACCTGACAAGCATCAGAGATGGCATAGAGGAAGTAGTAACAACATGTGCCCAATGACAGGACTTTTAACCTTCATCAATAATGAGTTATGTCAACTCACCTCATCTCATAAGACTATATCTTAAAAAACAGATTAAGCAAACGGATTAGACAAACATCTGCTAATAACACTGTAAGTACAATTTATCCTTCCTGGGGCTGAGAGGAGTAGACCAGAATTCTCGAGGTTCATTCGCTGCATCACTTTACTTAAGTTTTAAAAGGCAACATAGAGCCCATTTTGAATCCATTTAGTGAAACTTTAACAAAACCAAAATTTCACTTAATATATACAGAGATAGATATTTGCCCACTTAGCACTGCCAAAATTAGATATGTCTAATGTAGCATGCATTTACCTCACACGTGTTTCCTATGTAAAATACCGTCTTGCTGAAAGGATAAGCCTAAAACATTTTATGACTCCATCATTTCAGTTTTAATCTCTTAAGCAGGAATTCAGTTTTCAAGACCTTACATTTTTTAAGAAAACCTGCTAAATGCGTATTAGCTGTAAAATGTTGGCTGTACATACCAACTTCTTGAGTACACATCTCCAGTTTTACTCCTATTGCCCAAAGTTGGCTGGAGCAGAAGACTGAAAACGATAGACTAGTATGGGTTCAGACCTCTCAGAACAGCAATGGAACTGGAATACTCTGAGTCTTACAGAAGACTTGCAAGGTGACGAAAAGTTCAGGAGTTACACAGAATCATTAATGTCACTGGTGATGCTTTAGTCCAGCCTGTGATTGGAGGTCTGGTAGACATTCACATCATATTGTCTGCAGAAGACTTCAGGGAAAGGAAAAAAACACGTAAAGCCAGCAAAACATAGCTGTATTCTAATCAGAAGTCAAATAATAACAAAGGCTTCCTCACTTAAATATCCTAATTCCTTTTTGTTAATGCATGAACCTAGTTCTTTGGTTTATACAAGCAAAACACTACTTGGTCAAGCACACATATAGTTTCCCTTTTTTACAAGTTATTAAAGCACCTTTTCCTGTAATTCACTAATATACCTGCAGCATATTGGTCAGAAAACAAGGAATCCATTGAGAAGCTTGAAAGTTGGGGGGGAAAAAAACCCTAATTCAAATGTCAATACCATATTTAATTTGATAAGCCTGTATACACTTCATGCGTCACCTGCTCTGGAGACCATATAGGAAGGAATACAACATATCACCTTGCCCATTTGGACTATTCCTTTTCAGAAAACCGTGAATGCTTCAAAGAAGAGAGATTCTTCTCTTATTTGCACAGAACAAAACGTGCTACATTAGGCTGGACTTTCAGGACAATTTATAAATATGGGAAATTCACCATCACCAAGTACAACTCACAACATGCACTACAAATGGAGAAGATCCTAACCGAGCTGCTACATGGAAAATTAATATGTCATAAAAGCAAAGTTTTTGTCAATTATTACATTTATATTCGGGGAAGAAAGCATTGTCAACATACGTCCATCTTTGTTTGCCTGCCAATAATTATTCCCATATGCATTCCTGGTCATTAACACAGTATTCTGTCGATTCTTCCTGTCCAAAAATATATGTGCCTAACACACACAGAGAGCTTCACTGCTACCAAACCAGGGACAAAGCCAAAAGTGACTGACAGGTCTGTAATTTCTACATATGCATATATGAAGAAGAGCAAGTCATGAAAAAAAAGTAGAATAATGTAATAAGATACACCAAAAATGTACGGAAAAAAAATTATCATTACACGTGAAAAGAGCAAAGACAGCATCTTCTGTGAAGACAACATACTTCAGAACACTTAAGGAGACCTTTCAACCTCGATATAAGAAATCCTTAGAAGCCAAAATGGGCTGACTCCCCACCAAAACATGCTTTCCACCATAATTTTCTCCAGAGACTTCCGCTAGAATATAATTTTATCACTGGGTGCTGGGAAACCATACTAATGCACATTCAGAATTTAGGGCAGTGTTCACAAGAAAAACCTGCCTTTTGTCCTGATAGTCATAATGACCCTTTTCGTAGTATTCCAACACGATCAGATGAAACTAAATACAGTGCAGTTCATATTGTGACTGATGTAACGTGGGCAGGGAACAATACCATGGAAAAGAAAAAGCCAAGGATCTTTGTCTCCTTCTAGACGGATTGCCAAGTCTCAGTAGTTGGAGGGAGAAAAAGCACAGCATCCCACATAAAACACTGCAGTGCATGTTCACCATTTCAGCAAAGTCGCTGCAGCTTTAGGCAATCCCGTAGGAAATTTGGACCCCTCAAAGAAAGCCAAAGCTAAAAAAAAAAAAAAAAAAAAAAAAAAAAAAAAAGAGGACAGAAAACAGCCCTAGCTTAAAAACTGTAGAAGAAACAAATAATCCACTGGCTGTGGAAATAAAGCCCAAGGAGCTCACCAATCGCATCGCAACCAATACTACAGAGATAAGATCGGCAATAACCAGCCATAAATCTATTAAATGCTGTATCTTCTCGCCGCCGCCGCCGGTGTTCGGGCGCAGGCGGGCAAGGGCTGCGGGCCCGGTAGTGGTGCCTACCTGCGAGAGCTGCCGGGGGTTGGGGCAGCCGAAGAGTGCGGAGCTGGAGCTGAAGCTGATGGCCCCTCTGCGGCTGAGGACGTGCTGCGGCACCGGCCTGTCCAGCGGCAGCACGGGCAGCTGGTAACATACTTCCATTGACGAAGCCTCGGTGCGCCGGCCCGCCGCGGGGCAGCGGCCTCGCCCGCCGCACCTGCCCGCGCAGGGCTCCCCGCAGCGGGGAAGGGCCGGCGGCGAAGCCCCGCGGGGGCCCGGCGCCTCCTCGCCGCCCCCGCGCCCCCCGGGGGGCCGGGCCGGGCCGCGCCGGGCCCCGCGCCTTTGTGCTTCGCTGCCGCCAAAGCCCGGCGGGAGCCGCCGGCGGGAGCTGGGGGGAGGCGGCGGAGCGGGACGGCTCTGTCAGCGCCCGGGGCGGCGAGTCCCGGCCCGCAGCCCGCGGCCGCCGCCGCTCCCTCCCTCCCGCCCGCCCGCCCTCGGGCGCGCTGCCGCCGGCGGGAGCCGCTGTCAGCGCCGCTGCCCCGCGCCGCGCATGGAGGGCCGGGGGCCGCGCCAAGGGACACGCGCCGCGCTCGCCCCTATTGTCCGGCACGGCCGGGAGCGGGAGCGGGAGCGGGAGGAGGAGGAGGAGGAGGAGGCGCCGCTCCGCTGAGGGGAAGGGGCCGGGCCGTCGGAGAGGGGACCCGGGCAGGAGGGGGAGGAGGAGAAGGAGGAGGAGGAGAACGGAGAGGAGGAGGAGGAGGAGGAGGAGGGAGAGAAAGAGGAGGAGGAGGAGGAGGAGGAGATGGAGGAGGGATGGAGCCTCCGCCCCGCCCGCGCGCCGGCCCGGCTGGAGGAGCAGGCACGAGCCCGGCGGACCGTGCGTGGGTCGCGCGGCTGGCGACACGCGCACAGCGGCGTCATCACGTCACCGCTGCCCACACTCGCGCTCCCCGTCCGCGCGCACCAGGCAGGGGCGGCTCGGCGGGCGCCGCACGCATGCGCCCTCCGCCCTCCCCTCGCGCCCTCGCAGACGCCCTCGTTCCCTCCTTCTCCTTCTGTCACGGAATCACAGAATCACGGAGTCATTTAGGTTGGAAAAGACCTCTGAGATCATCGAGTCCAACCTATGACCGAATACCACCGTGTCAACTAGACCATGGCATTAAGTGCCATGTCCAGTCTTTCCTTAGACACCTCCAGAGGCGGTGACTCCACCATCTGCCTGTGCAGCCCATTCCAATGGGTAATCACCGTTTCTGTGAAGAAATTCTTCCTCATGTCCAACCTAAATCTCCCCTGGCACAGCCTGAGGCCATGTCCTCCTGTCCTGCCACTTGTACACCGACTCCCAGCTCGCTACACCCTCCTTTCAGGCAGTTGTAGACGGTGGTAAGGTCTCCCCTGAGCCTCCTTCAGGCTAAACAACCCCAGCTCCCTCAGCAGCTCCTCACAGGACTTGTGCTCCAGACCCTTCACCAGCTTCGTTGCCCTTCTCTGGGACTCACTCCAGCACCTCAATGTCCTTCTTGAATTGAGGGGCCCAGAACTGGACACAGGACTCGAGGTGTGGCACTGCTCGTGTGAGATGCAAAGGGCTCGTGGAAGCCCCAGGCTGGAAAGAAGGTAGTGGGTGTTTGTCTTGGTGCCCCCATGTTGTAAAGTGCCATACTCGAGGGAATGGCGTGAGGCTGTGTCATGGGAGGTTTACTTTGGATATCTGGGAAAAGGTTTCTCACCAGAGGGTGGTTGAACACTGGAACAGGCTCCCCAGGGAGCACCTTGGTCAGAGCACCGAGCCTGTCTGAGTTCAAGAAGGGTTTGAACAACGCTTTTGGGTACATGGTGGGATTCTTGGGGCTGTCCTGAGCAGGGCCAGGAGTTGGACTCTAATGATCCCTTCCCACTCAGGATATAATGATATCCCTTTCAACTGAGGATATTCTGTGACTGCGTTCATCAGCCCTCAGTTCCCTCCCCTGCTATGTCCTGAGGGCTGGGGGAGCCACACTGAGGGAGCTGTGGTCTCACTGGGGCCTGATCCGGCTTCTCCTGCAGGAGGCTGGGCACCAGTCAGCAGGGCCTGGCCTTGAATGCCCAGCTTGGGCAGCTGCTTGAAAATCAAACACGGAAAGACAGTTTTGTTTTAAAATGCACTATGTATCAACAGCAATGCACTGGGGAGTTTGTATTTGCATTTGAACCCTTGCTGTTCATTTTTAGAGTGTGGAGGGGTGGGGTTTTTTGCAAGACAAAGAGGTAGAACTGTGTAATCTTTGTTAAGGTAAAAAATGAGATTCCTGGAAAACCACACAACTCCAGGAATTGTACTCTAAGGGAGAGAAGGAATAATTCATTATGTGATCTGGACCGTCACGTCACATTATGTACATCGCATTAGCCGGAACACTTAGAAATAAACTTTGCATTGTTTTTTTTTCTTTTTAGGACTAAGCCTCTCTTTGTGTCTCTCTGCAGCTGCTTTTTTATCCCCATCCTTTCATCTCTTATTTCTCCATCATAAAAAAAAAAAATCCTAAATATAGCATGATAGGTAAAGGAACATTTCTGTTCTTTGCATAATATATGAAGTGCCTGTACCCACTTAAAAAATCATATTTTGCAAAATGATTCATATGATTTAATTTTGCATAATACATTATTCTTCTAAGTGCTTGCTTACTGGCAGAAAGGTTTAGATTTCACATGATAATAGTTATTTATAGGCAATGACACAGCTTTGGAGGAGCCCATTTGGAAAGAATAGGTGGTTTGTATGGAAGATTTTCATCTGCTTGAACTAGTTATAGAAGCAAGAAGTTTTATAGATGTGGACTGGTGGCTGTTTCACCTGGAGCTGTGAAGTTAACAAATGCACCTTGTTATTTTGCAGAACTGCAGTCCCACATTGTCTCATGGATAGTCACAAGGTCATACAGACACGTTAGAGAGGACATTGGATCAAGTACCATGTCTTAAAAGCTTCTTCAGCTGTTTTTCTCACCATTTTTGAAATAAAAATCTCACAAGCATTCTCAGTATGTATTTATAATGTATACATGCAATAATTTGAGATATAATAAACACATAGTAATTCAAAGTCAAATCACATACTCAGCCTTTTTTTTTTTTCAGTAATTAAGACATGTCAGGTTTTCTTCTGCATTCTTTGACAGTTTACTCATGTTTGGCCTGTTAACATTAAATCTACAATGCATTTAAGTTACTGATAGAACACCACCAGCTTCGCTGGAATCAGGATTTCCATCTCTCATTCATTTTTCAAAATTACTACTAATAATGAATTATTTTCCTGTACTCAGGTAGGATGGATTTTTACACTAGTCAATCCAAAATTCAATTCATAAACAATATGTCATGTCTTTTGGGGGAAAAAGTGCATATTCTTACTTTCACTGAATATAAATAGTGCATATTTCAATCCTATAAGGTCAAACTATGAGTAAAGATTGTTGATAATGAGTTTTATGGTTCCTGTCAGCTTTGTGTACTTTCCACCTGATTAGTTGAAACTAGTTCATTAAGGTCATTTTAGTTCTCAATCTGAGCCAGTATAGCCTTAAATAACATAACCAGTATTATCCCTCATATTATCTTTGATCTGTAATTAACATTATATAAACACCTTTAAGGAAACTGAAAATACATTATTATGAAGTAAGCATAGGTTTTCCAGGCAGTGGCTGTTTCCATAAGTGTGCTGCTTTCAGGGCACAAATTACTATTTTTTAATAAGTACAGAAGTTAATATTAGCCAGGTGTTGATTTCTTGTATAAGCTTACAAAGGAAGACTCTTATAGAATCATAGAATGGCTTGGGTTGGAAGGGACATTAAAGATCATCTAGTTCCAACCCCCAATCTTGCCTCTGAATAATAGACAAAGCCTTAAAATTATGATGTAAGTCACATATTTTCAGCCTAAATATGTTTGTTACAAAAAGAATGCATGTTCTGTGACTTATATCCTGCCAGTTCCATCTGCTGTCTTCACCTGCCGCAAGTTAAGAGCTTGTAGAAAAGGCAAGAGGTTTTTATTGATTTGTGTCATAAAACTATAGCAACACCAAAGTGTTCATTCACAGCCTTTTGTTTGAATTAAGTTGTTCTCCTAGTGAACCGTGGAGTTCTTTGAGTACCACGGTGCTGCATGTCTTAAATGCATCATAGGACATCACGAGGTGCCACAGTTCAGCTGTGTAAGCCCTGCATATTGTGAATTCTTTCTCATGGCAGATACAGCCATTAATAGAGACGGATTAAAATATTCAAATTTAGGGGGTATTAAAAACATTTCGATGTTTCTCAGTTAATGTCTTTTACACATCATTATAATTTTCAGGGTGCTGTTAGCAAGGAAGAAGCGTTACTGATGGCCAGACTTATCACAAGGAACAGCACTCCCACGAAACTGGAGAGATGGAAGATCACAAAATCAGAGTTAGTTTAGTTTTCTGGTTACTGTGAAAAGAGGATGAAATCACACAGGCACTCCAGCAAGACATTCTGCTGGGCTAACTGCATGGCACAGAGTGCCTCTCTGGGGCACAGCCAGCTAACACTGTCAGAACTGAACAGTCTGAACAGAAGAGGATGCTTTTCCCATGTTCTCGTACAAAATGGAAAATAAGGATCCTCAAAGGCATAACATGTTTGTACTTTGAAAACACCATGAGAACACAGAAAATATTTATTTGTACAGGTAAATGACCAAGACAAGCACAAGAGATTTTAACTTTTCTTCTTACCTGAAGAATTTATGTGATATAAAAGGCAGGGTTATTTCTGTAGACAAGTAGAAAGTCACTTTGTTTGTTATGTCCTTGGTAACTGCATTTTTAGACATTGTTTTTGGCATGTGCCATTTCTTTGGCACATAACCAGATACGTCTTTTTTTTCACCCAGACTTATTATCTGAGTGAACACTGTGTATTTCCATAGGAATTCCAGACCTCTGGCAACTCATTTGAAATGTACTTATGTCCCTATTTGATGTGTCCCTTCCCTCTGCCTTGTCCTGGGTCTGTGTTGGGCTTGTTTAAATTTTTGTGGCAATACAACATTCTTGACTCCTACTTTGCTTGCCATCCCCTGCACCCCAGATATTTTCTACAGAACTTTGCACCATCCCCTCAGTGTATTCGTCCTTCCTGAGTGGGATAATTTGCACTTGCCTTTACCTGAGTGTGTTGTGATTTCCTCAACCCATTTTTTTGGTTGGTCAAGAGTCAGTACAAGTCCTGTCCTTCTACTTCCAGACCTTCCTGGCTCTCTGTCATCTGCAAATTTAATAAGCATGCTCTCAAAACAGCTCAGCAGTAAAGATTCTAAGAATGAGTGAGTCTAAGACCTGGAAGAGTTCTGAAAACTAGCGTTTAGTAAACCCTGTCAACCCTTACTAACTCCTCTGGGAATGGTTTTCAATCATTTTTGCACCCATATTGCAGTAGCTTTATCTATTTTATGGCCCAGGTTCGTCTTTCCTGGCTTTTGAGGCTTAACCTGGAGACTAGTTGCCTAAGGCTAATTTCCTAGTCAATAATTAAGGGAGAGACAGCAGGCCGTTCAAGTTGTTCTTTGAAGTTGCCTTTCTCTCCACTGAGAAGCAGCAGCACAGCACAACCTTTCTCCTAATTTAGTTGCTTCAGTTTGTGTCTGTGAAGTCGA